CTTGGAAGGCTGAGGCGGAAGGATCGCTGGAGCCCAGCAGGTCGAGGCTGCAGTGGCTGGCAGCGGTCACTGCACTCCAGTCTGGGCAGCAGAGTGAGACTCCAACTCAAAAGAAAAAAAAAAAAGTCTAACATATGAAATGAAATATATACAGGAAGGATCCCACAAAAACCGGTATTATCTTTTGGAGGGCAGGCCCTTTTAGTACAGGCTACCCCCACTAGGTAAGTAAGTGTTCTAGGAACCCACTGGCATCAGTGTACCTGCTAGCATTGTGGTGAGAGGCTGCATTTGGCTTCAGTGAATTTTTTTTTGGAGGTTCTTTCAACACATTTGCCAATTTCATGTTGGGTGATTTACAAGCGCACCCGCCCACACTGCACTGAGTGTTCAACAGTTTTTGACCAAAAAAGGCATGACCCCTGTGCCCCACCCTTCCTATTCACCTGATTTCCCCCCACCCCCAGCGACTTTGTTTGTTTGTTTGTTTCCCCGGATGAAAAAAAGTCCTCAAAGGGAAACAGTTTTGCCTACCTGGAAGAGGTAAAACAAAAAACCCACAGAAACACTAAAAGGCATCCAAACTGACAAGTGCAAAAATTGTTTTGAGCAGTGGAAAAAGTGTCTCAATAGGTGTATCGCATAAAATGGAGAGGACTTTGAAGGTGACTGAAGTTTAAACATGTAAGAATAAATACACAATTTTTAATGAACTCTGGATTTGGGGGGGATCCTCTCTCGTATTGCATAAGATAATGGTAGACTAGCCATTGCTGAAGAAAAGGCTTTCATACAACATATGAAATGAAATATATACATGAAATAAACTTGAAGAAATAGCAATAGAAACTATCCAAAATGAAACTGTAGAGGAAAAAAAAATCTTGGAAAAAAAAAAATCAGTGGTCTGTGGAACAACTTCAAGCAGCCTATGAAAGAAAATGCTTGAGACTAGAAGTGTTTTGGATTTTGGACTTTTTCAGATTTTGGAATATTTGCAGAATGCGTACTAGTTGAGCACCCTTAATCTGAAATCTGAAATTTGAAATGCTTCAGTGAGTATTTTCTTTGAGCATCGGGTCAATGCTCAAGACATGAGAGATTTTGGAGCATTTTGGATTTCAGATTTTTGGATTAGAGATGCTCAACCTGTATATAACTGGAATTCATTAAAAGTGTGTGTTAGGAGAGTTGGAAAAACTAATGGCCAATTTTTTTCAAATTTGGAGAAAATTACAAGCTCTCAGATCCAAAATACTGAATGAATCCCAAGCCCAAGAAACATGAAGAAAATAGCACCAAGTACATTACAAATTTCTCATCTGGAGGTACTCAAATCATCCTACAAAAAAAATTCCTGCACATGTGTGTTTATTGCCACACTCTTCACAATAGCAAAAACATGAAGCCAACCGTGCTGCTCATCGAAAGTAGACTGGATAAAGAAAACGTGGTACATATCCATGATAGAATATTACACAGCCATCAAGAAAGACAAAATTATGGACTTCACAGCAAATAGTCCATCATACTCAATGATCTGTCACAGAAACAAAAAACTGAATACCACATGTTCTCACTCATAAGTGGGACCTGAATATTCATCACAATACCCCAAGTGAGGGATCAGCAGTAGCAGGACACTGCCAGGGGAGCGGTGTGGCACGTAACATCACTAAGGGCACATGACCTGACATCAAGGGAAGTGAGAACCAGTGGGAGGCCCAAGCCTCACATGTACCTAATCCTGATTTGTACCCCACATCTTTAAAATAAAGTTAAGAAATTTTTCTCAAAAACTGTTTTAAAAGTAACAATCTCAAGCATCAGGAGAAACGGACATGCCACATACACAAGAGCAAAGATAAGGATACAGATAAAGGCAAAAAAAATAATGAAATAGGAAAACAGTATAAAGCAGTAGACCTTAAAAATGAAAATTTAGTTCACTGGCAAGAACAATTAAATAGACAAACTTCTGGCAAAATGAGTCAATTAAAAAGAAAATGCCATTAAGTAACATTTGAAACAAAAATGAGTAACCAGGTTTTTAAAGGGTATTTTAAACTCTAGGGACTTGATACTAATAAATTTGAAAGTCAATATAAAAAAAGGATTTTACCCCCCCAAAATCAATTACTAAAATGTGCTTTAGAAGCAAAAGAAAAGCTAAACAAAAATAATAGAGGGGGCACTTATAAGTCATTTCTAATATACCTATTGATTAGATAATTCCTATTTGTTTAAACTCTTTCACATCAAAGAAAAAAAAATACTTTGCAATTCATTTTGAAGCTTGCATACCCTGATATAAAAATAATAATTTTTGTTTTAGTCAGAGTCTTCCTGTTACCCAGGCTGGAGTGCAGTGGCATGATCACAGCTCACCATAGCCTCGACCTCTTGGGCTCAGGCAATCCTTCCACCTCAGCCTCCTAAATACTGGGACTACAGGTGTGCACCAATACACCTGGCTAATCTTTTTTTTTTTTCATAGAGACAAGTCTTGTTATGTTATCCAGGCTGGTCTTGAACTCGTGAGCTCAAGCAATCCTCTTGCCTCAGCCTTCCAAAGTGCTGGGATTGCAGGCATTAGCCACCATGTCTGACCTTGATATAAAAAGTGAACAAGAATAGTGGAAAGAAAGTATTGATTAGTCTCATTTTTGCACCTCTACAGAAAGTCATTTATTACAACTTGTTTTGTGAAAAGAAGAATGTTGTAGAATAATTATTTAAAGTATTCAACTTATATTTTTTAAAATGCTATATTTGTGCCTAAATATGTATCTATTTTTGTATGCATATTGGTAGTGTCTGGAAGGATACTTATTAAACGTTAAGAATGCTAACATAGTATTGGAAGGAAACAGATGTGAAGAAATTTTCACTCTATACTTTGTGATGTGTTTTGAATATTTTCACTGTAAGCATGTATTTTATAATGTATTTTTTAAAACGTTTTGGAAATGTATTTTCATTATTCTAAATAAATTGAAAGAATCTTTAAAGAACTTAACACATTTTTTTATCACAAATAAAAATACATTTTACGTTTCAATGGAACTAAATGAAATATTGCCCAATTATTATTTGGTTACATATCCACTTAATAGGAAACAGAGAAAATCCTAAAGCAGCTTCCTTTTTTTGGCAGTGGGTAAGAAGCTGTGACCCCAACTGAGCTTCTACATTTGGAAATAATTTGATTTTAGAAACTGACCCCACAATACCCCTGCACCCTCCTGGAGGCTTACAGGACATCTGTATCAACAGAGGGCTGAGGACACCTTGTTCTCAGTGCTGCCCTATTTACTTTATGAAAATAAAGAAACTAGCCAGGTGTGGTGGCTCACACCTATAATCCCAGCACTTTGGGAGGTAGAGGTGAGAGGATTGCCTGAGCCAAGGAGTTCAAGACGAACCTGGGCAACTTGGTGAGACCACACCTCTTCAATAAATCACAAAATTAGCCGAGCGTGGTGGCGTGAGCCCAGCAGGTGGAGGCTGCAGTAGCCATGATTGTGCCACTGCACTCCAGCCTGGGTGGCAGAGTGAGACTCCGACTCAACAAACAAACAAAAATAAATAAATAAACAAACAAATAAGAAACAGGATGTTAACTTAGAGGGATATGAGAAACCAACTTTCTTAATCAAATTAGTATAAGGTCTGACCTTTTGTGATTGTTTTAAAGTTGTATTGTTATAGATTCAATATCACTCCAGATGCATTTTAAAAAACATTTTCTCTTTAGCATTGCTTCAAAATGTGCTTTAAAAATGTTCTCCAAACTTTGAATGATTTTTTTCTAGAATGAAGAGAAAATTAAAGAGAGAAAGAGGCATTTGGGAGACACAAAGCACTTCTGTCCAGTGGTTCTCAAAGAAAACTTCATCCTACAACCAGGAAGCACAGAAGAAGTCGCTAAATATCGAGAGAAGACCTACTATTTTTCAAGTTCTGAGGCTAAAGAAAAGTTTCTGGAGCATCCTGAGGACTATGTGGCCCATGAGGAACCCTTGAAGGTGAAAACAGTACCTGTGTTCCCCCCCATGGTTGCACCCAAGGACTTTTTGAGAACTGATTCCCAACTGCCATCATTGAACTTAATAGTGATGTTCCTGATCTGATATTACAATACAGTGAAAATATCTAAGTTCAAAGAGCAACATTTTGGAATATAATATAAAACAATCTATTTTGATTTCTACAATCATGACTTGTGTCAACCCAGCACTTAATATTCTGTCTTTGTAGCTGAAGTGAAAGGACACAACTAAAGTTGGGCGTGGTGGCACATGCCTGTAATCCCAGCACTTTGGGAGGCTGAGGCAAGAGGATTGCCTGAGCCCAGGGTTCAAGATCAGCCTGGGCAACATGGTGAGACCTTGTCTCTATAATCAAAATAACCGGGCATGGTGGCACACACTTGTAATCCTAGCAATCTGGAAGGCTGATGTGAGAGAATTGCCTGAGTCCAGGGGTTTGAGACCAGCATGGCAACTTGGTGAGACCTTGTCTCTACAATAAATCAAAAACTTAGCTGGGCATTGTGGAGCACATCTGTGGTTCCTTCTGCCTCAGCCTAGTAGGTCAAGGCTGCAGTGACCGTGAGCATGCCACCGCTCTCTAACCCAGGTGACAGAGTTGAGACTCTGATGCAAAAAAAAAAAAAAACAAACAAAAATTTATACACACACACATTTAACCCAGACACAAAAGTTTACCATATGAGAGGGAACCCCCCAAAAAGCTTGGAACTTATTTATTTTAAAATTGTATATTCCTTTTTACATGTTTAAACTTCAGTCACCTTCAAAGGACTCTCTGCTTGATGCAATGAACCTGTTGAGATGCTTTTTCCACTGCTCAAAACAGTTTTTGAACTTGTCGGTTTTGATGCCTTTCAGTGCTCCTGCCATTTTTTGGGTTTCACCTCTTGCACAAGGCAAAATGTTTCTCTTCGACGACTTTGTTCATCTGGGGAAACGAAACAAAGTCAGTGTGATATCGGGTGAATTGGGGGGGCACAAAAACTGCCACGCTGTGGGCAGGTGTGCTAATAAGTCACCCATGATGAAGTAAATATTTGAAACAATTTCTTTAAAAAAAAATCACTGAGGCCAAATGTAGCCTCTCCCAACAATCCTAGCTGGTACACTGATGCCAATGGTTTCCTAAAACACTTAGCTATCAGGGGAAGCCTGTACTACAAGGGGCCTGCCCCCCAAAAGATAGTTCTGGTTTTTGGGGGTCCCCCCTCATATAATTTCACTTCTATTAGGTACCTAGGATAGGCAAATTCATGGAGACAAAAAATAAAATAGCAATTATTAATGGCTGTGGTAGGGGAGGGATTATTATTTAATAGGTACAGAGTTCCAGTTTGGGGTGATGAAAAGCCTCTGGAGGTGGTTAGCAGTGATGGTTGCACAATGTGAATATATTTCATGTCACTAAATTGTACTTTTTTTTTTTTTTTAAGTTGGAGTCTCACTCTGTCACCCAGACTGTTAGTGCAGTGGCCACTCCCGGCCATTGCAGCCTTGACCTGCTGGTCTCCGGCGACCCTCTGCCTCAGCCTTTCAAGTAGTAGCTGGAACTACAGGCACGCACTACCACGCCCAGTTAATTTTTGATTTTTGTAGAGATGAGGTCTCACCAAGTTGCCCAGGTGGGTCTTTCACCCGCAGGCTCAGGCAAACCACTCATCTCGGCCTCCCAAAGTGCTGGGATTACAGGCTAAGCCACCAAGCCTGGCCAATTGTACATTTTAAAATGGTAAAGTATTTTTTGGCATTTGTAGATCAAAACTTTTTACCTACAAATGCTAAAGTTTATTTTTTACTGATAAATAATAGTTGCATATATTTTTGTTTTACATGTGATATATATATACATAGATGTATGTACATATGGATATACCATATGTTTATGTAAATCTATGTTTTTATATATTTTTTGAGGCAGGGCCTTGCTCTGTCACCCAGTCTGGAGTGCAGGGGTGCGATAATAGCCCTACATGTGATATTTTGATCCCAGTGTACGGTGTGTGATGGTCAAATCAGGGTAACTGGGATATCCACCCCCTCAAACATTTATCTTTTCTTCATGTTGGAATCATTACCATTTCCCTCTTCTAGCTATTTTGAAATATGCAATAAATTATTAACTCTAATATCCCGCCTATACTGTAGAATGCTAGAACTTATTACTTCTTTTTGACTGTATTTTTGTACCCCTTAAACTTTTCTTCCTCCTCCCTCCCTGCCTCCCTTCCCAGGAGTTCACATTTTCATACCACGCTATGTTCCCACTTCCCCTTGCAAAGACTCCAGCCCTTTTGAGGCTTGTACTACCCAGACATGTCTCCAGACTCCTTGCTCCTTCTTCCTAGTATATGAACTACAATTTCACAGGACGTCCCTACTTAACGGCTACTTTATCCGACTTGCACCGCTGTTGACAATGTCAGCATCTGAGGGATGACCCACACCCCTGTGAGTTCTCTGGCTTCAGGCGTCTTCATTTCCAGTATGGAGACTGCTGGAAGCCTGATTGTGTTGTAGTGGGCTTTTCGTTTTGTAGCCAGTTTTTTGAGTCATGCTAAGAAAGTGTCTTTCTACTCTTTATTAACTAAAACTTTTTTTAAAAGCTAGTCAAATTTTATTTTATGAAGTGCCTTTTAGCATATGATACCAAGATGATCTTGTGGTTGTTGATGCTCCCTGAAGGCCATAGTTGAGCCAGTGAATTATGTTAGTTGATATCCTAATGTCTAAACATCCTTGAGTTTGTGAAGTGATCATTTTCACTCAGTCTTAGGGAGGGCAGTGAATAAGCTTTCCGGTTTTTTGTTTGTTTGTTTTGTTTTTAGATTGAAAAATATAGTTTATTTAGAAAGAAAATTAGAAAGAGAGAGAGAGGAGATTCACCTCCCCAAGGTAGGGGAGGGGGCCAAAGCTAGGAAACATGGTGGCCATATGGCTCAAAGAGTGGCCACACCAGAGTTTAACAAAGCGATGGCTACCTTCTGTTCTTTAAACTACTCAAAACTTTTTCTTCACTCTCTCTCTCTCTTCCACCCCTCTCTGACCCACTCTCCCTGGCAGGCTCCTCCCTTGAGAGTATGCCTTGTTGGCCCCCATGGCTCTGGCAAAACTGTGTGTGGAAGACAGTTGGCAGAAAAATTGGACATTTTTCACATTCAGTTTGACGAAGTTCTTCAGGAAAAATTACTGCCCAAAACTGGAAAGAAAGTTGGACCTGAATTTGAGGAAGATTCTGAGGAAGAACAAGTTGCCAGACAAGAACTTGAAGAGCTTGCAGTTCAGGCCAATGTTAAAATTGAGGAAGAAAACACCAAGAAGCCGGTAGGAATATTCATTTATTGTGGACAGCTGTACTTACTGGTGTTAGGTGTTACTTTGGGAAAGTAGAATAGAAGTAGTATTAAACTCTATAAAATTTCTAAAAAGAGAAAAACCATTAGCCCATAAAAATCATTTACAGAGCTATCCACCCCCATATGTTAAATGTATACAGGACTTCCTGCTCATCTAGAATATAAGATACTGAATTTTGCGTGACTCCAGTGAAAACTGGAAAAGCTGCTGGGCTCAGTGGCTCAGCCTGTAATTCCAGCACTTTGGGAGACTGAGGCAAGTAGATTGCCTGAGGCCATGAGTTTGAGACCAACCAACCCAGGCAACCTGGAGAGATCTCGTCTCTACAACAACTAGAAAGTTAGCCAGGAGTGGTAGCGTGCGCTTGCGCTTGTATTTCCAGTTACTTGGAAGGCTGAGGCGGAAGGATTGCTGGAGCCCAGTGGGTCGTCGCTGGGGTGGCTGTAAATGTGCCACTGCACACCAGCCTGGGTGACAGAGTGAGGCTCCAACTCAAAAAAAAAAAAAGAAAGAAAATTGGAAAAGCTTTCCTTGACAAGACTGTTGTCTAGCATTTATTTGGGATTATGTTATTTGATCAGTCTGACCTAGACATTATTGTGTGCTTGTTTTCTAGCAAATATCATAAAGATCTGCCTCAGCTCCAAATCTCAAAATATTAATTTCTAATCATGCCTTATCAGGAAGTTTATATGTATCTCTTAAATGGTTTCTATCTGGAGTTGTAAAATGGAAGCTCTTCATTCTAACTTGTGTTTTAACATTTCTGATGTAGCTAGACCATTTTGTTCTCAAATGACCCTTGTTGATGGATACAGGTGCAGTTATGTGTAATACCCAAATTCTGAGCAAAGATAGATAGTAAGATGGTGTACTCTAAAAGGTAATGATGCACCCTTTCAAACGTATTCTTTGAATGTGTCCACCCATGTTTAATAGAGTCAGGGAGAAAGTTATATTCTTTTTTCTTTTTTGAGTCAGTATCTCACTCTGTCGTCCAGGCTGGAATACAGTGGCAAGCTCACAGCCACCCCAATGTCGACCTGCTGGGCTCCGGTGATCCTTCCGCCTCAGCCTTCCAAGTAGCTGGAACCATAGGCATGTGCCATCACTCCCAGCTACATTTTTTGATGTATTGTACAGACAAGGTCTCACCATGTTGCCCAGGTTGGTTTTGAACCCATGGGCTCAGGTTAGCCTCTCTCCTCAGCCTCCCAAAGTGCTGGGATTACAGCTGTGAGCGACTGCACTGTGCCTAGCTTAGAAATTTATATTCTGCTAGCTTTAAACATGTGTATCAATCCAAATTTTTTAGTTGAACATATCTTGACTTTTAAATGCAACAAATATTTTCTGCTTTTCTACAGTTTTAAAATTTGGTTTTCTTTTGCTGTTTTCTGATTCTGACTTCTCAGGAAGACTTTAAGAGATTTTATTTTTAAATAATTAAATCAATCCTATTTTCTGGCAAGCAGCAGTTTGTCATAACTTATTTAGTTTCTGAATTTTGGACAACAAAAGTACTCAACAAAAATAGTTTCATCTTAGTAAGAACTATTGTTTTTTATTATCTATTCAAGAGTGACCCTACTTGAGAGTTTATCTGAATTAATTATCACAATACTTCCTGTTTGTTATTATGGGCTTATAATCCTCTTATAGATTGCATTTCAGATGGCAACCTGGTTGGCCCATCCAATAATCAGGATCTAGGTTGGAGAGATAATACTGTATAATTATAAAGAGACCACAAAATCAGCCAAACCTTACAGGAGTGTGAGATAAATTAAACAAGGTCTTAGCAAAACGTGTTGAGAGATGACCCCGAGGCCATGTACAAAAATCAGACATGTTATCATAACTCCTCTTAGCTATAGTAAATATTATTTACTATTTATAACCACATTAAATATTGGTCTAAAGAAAGGGGCTCAAATTTTTAAATACTTATAAGCAATACTATAAAAAATGCCCTCAGAGAAAATAAAAGGTCTCATCTTAATCAACTATGTAATATAGTTGTAGCAGTATGTACTGCTATGTGAGAGTATTGTTTTTAATATAGAGGTTTGGGGCTTTTACACATATTTATGGAGTACATGTGATATTTTGTTACATGCATAGAGTGTGTAATGATCAAGTTAGGGTATTTAGGATATGCATCACCTGGAACATTTATCATAGCTACATGTTGGTAACATTTCAAGTCCTCTTTTCTAGCCATTTTGAAATATATAATACATTGTCATTCACTATAGCCACCTACTATGCTATGGAACATTAGAACTTATTCCTGCTAACTAACTGCATGTTTGGACCCATTATTGTACTTCACTTCATCTTCCCTTCCTCCCTGACACACACTACTCCTAGCCTCTGATAACTATTATTCTATCTCCATGAGATTAACTTTAATTTTTTTAGCTTCCACGGATGAGTAAGAACTTACAATTATTAATATGGAGTTTTAAAATGTGTTTTGTTTTCTGATGTTTGTTTTTAGCCTCCAGAAGTCCAACTGACTGAAGAGGAAGAAATAATCAAATCCAGTCTAATGGAAAATGAGCCACTGCCGCCTGAAATTCTTGAAGTAGTTCTCTCGGAGTGGTGGCTTAAGGAACCAATACGGTATCTTAATTCATGTATAAACATTGATTTACTTTTCTTTGTTTTATTCTTAAAAGTTAAAAATGTAGTTCAGGCCGGGCTCGGTGGCTCAGCCTGTAATCCCAGCACTTTGGGAGGTCGAGACGAGTGAATTGCCTGAGCCCGCGGGTTCAAGACCAGCCCATGCAACTTGGTGAGATCTCGTCTCTACAGTAAATCAAAAATTACTCGGGTGTGGTAGTGTGCACTTGTAGTTCCAGCTGCTTGGAAGGTTGAGGCAGAAGGACCGCCTGAGCCCAGCAGGTTGACACTGGGTTGGCCGTGAGCGTGCGTGCCACTGCACTCCAGCCTAGGCAACAGAGTGAAACTCCAACTCAAAAAAAAAAAATGTAATTCAACATAAATTTAAGAATGTGCACTATTACATTCATGTAACTCACTTGAGATACACATTAAAAACATCTGTGGAGTTTTAAAAAAAAATACTGATGCCAGGACCTCACCCCAAAACAATTGAGTGGAATCTCTAGGAGTATGAGACTGGGACCCAGACACTGTTATTCTTAACACCCTCAACATGACTAATGCATTGTTGTGGTTGAGAATGCATGTTCTAAATCCATGTGCCCTAATGATGTGCTGGATTCTTTTCACCTGCGTCTTTTAGCAATGACAGCCTGACCAACTAATAGCTGTTCATAGTGTTATCCCTTTACCAAATGCCAGGAACAATCTGACCCTAGACAGAACAAATTTAAGACTCTCCAGGTCACCAGGTTTTAAAACTCTACCTTGGTTTCCTAACCAGAATCTCTTGCCTTGATATCCACCAGAAGAAAGTGAAATGATATTTATGATACTCATGATAGCACACACATATATGGAACTTACTATATGCCGGGTACTGTTCAACTGTATTTCATTCATATTAACTTATCTAATTCTTACAACAACCCTGTGGGATAAAAATATTTATTGTCTCAGTTTGGAGATAAGAAAACTAAATAATAGAGAATTTAGATAACTGGCTAGTTTTGGTGTTCTTCTTAAGTCTCTGGGCAGTCCATTCACCTAGCCCCTGTTCTAAATGAGTGAGTGGAAATATGAGTCACTGATTTTTAATTTTGTGTTCCCTAAATTAGATCAATAGTTGTAGGAAATTTAGGCAGGTTATCTCCTGCTGTATAGTCATGAACTGGTCTTCATTAATTTAGCTCCTGACCTCACACTATACAATAAAATATATGCAGATAAACATATAGATATAGATATGAATATGTAGATATATAAATAGATATAGATATGAATTGAATAATTAAAAATAAAAGTGTAGCAGGGCATGGTGGCTCACCTCTGTAATCCCAGCACTTTGGGAGGCAGAGGTGAGAGAATTGTTTGAGTCCAGGAGTTTGAGACCAGCCCAGGCAACATAGCAAGACCTCATCTCTACAAAAAAAAAATCAAAAAATGAGTCAGAAGTAGCCTCAACCTCCTGGACTCAGGCTATCCTCCCACCTCAGCCTCCTCAGAAGCTAGGACTATAGGCACATTCCATCATGCCTGGCTAATTTTTACATTTTTTGTAGAGACAAAGTCTCACCATTTTGCCCAGGCTTATCTTGAATTCCTGGGTTTAAGCAATCCTCCTGCCTCAGCCTCCCAAAGTGCTGAGATTACAGGTATGGGCCATCATGCCTGGCAAAATTAACATTTTTGAATTAACATCTTTGAAGGCTAAAACTGTCAAATGTTCATGAAAGTCCCATTCATATTAAGAAAATATGTTTAAATATGAATATTTAAAACAAACCAAATTTCAGATAAGCAAGATAAACAAACTTTTCTCTAAACTAAACAAAACCAATTTTTCAAAGCCTAATTGTTTTATAAGTGCTCCCTAACAAAAATGTGTTAACATTCCAGCTATTTTCATAATCCTTAAAGTTTCATCATACTTGAACAAGTCTGACAATCCCATTTGAATATAATCATCTCACACATAAAAGTCTAGGTACATACATAAATGGTTGCCATTAGTTGCAAGGAGACCCAGAGAAGAGTTTTTAAATTGTCTCATGAAAGGAAGCATCATTAGAAGAAAAACTACTAGAGATGAGGCCTCTCACCAAGGTAGGCCAGCCATGTGTGCCCTTTGAATAAAGGCTAACACTTTCATTAGGTCGGGCACTCCTCCCAAATGGAGAACTTATTTTCTCTTTCCTGCGGTCTTTCACAACTTTTAGTTAGCTTCCAGTTAATAATATTTATCTCTACACTGATCAGCTGCCATTTTACTTTATAAATATATGTAGAAAACATTATAATTTTAATCCAATCTGATATATTTGAGAGAAGAAATACCATGTATACAACTAGAAATATTAAAATAAGTCACTACAATGAGTTTTTTTTTTTTAGTAGAAGTCTCACTCTGTCACCCAGGCTGGAGTGCAGTGGCATGCTCATGACCACCGTAGCCGCAACTTGCTGGGCTCAGGCGATCCTTCTGCCTCAGCCTTACAAGTAACTGGAACTATAGGCGCACGCCACCATGCCAAGCTAATTTTTTGATTTATTGTAGAGACGAGGTCTCACCAAGTTGCCCAGGCTGGTCTTGAACCCCTGGACTCAGGGAATCCTCTCATCTCAGCCTCCCAAAGTGCTGGGATTACAGGCTTGAGCCACTGCACCCAACCTTACAGTGAATTTTTAAACTATGCATTACACATCTTATATAAAGTTGAGATTTCTCAATACACTTTTTTCTCAAGAATTTAGCAGCAACCTGGATGGAATTGGAGTTTATAATACTGAGCAATCTCTCACAGAAACAAAGATCTGAGTATCACATGTTCTCACTCATAAGTGGACCTTGAACAACTATCGTAATACTATAAGAAAAGAATTGACAGTGGCGGGAAACTATGGGGTGGGGCAGGGAGGGGAAGGGGGGTGAGATTTATGGTAGTCGATATCTGTCTGGGGATGGGGGCACACCTCATCAACAAGGGTACCTGCACAATGCATATTTGTATACCTTAACCCTTAACTGTACCTCACAATTTTAAAATAAAAAATATGTTAAAAATTTTTAAAAATCCATATTATATTATTTAAAAAATACACTTTTTTCACTTTAAAATCTATATTTGTAACATAATAGTTCAAACAAATAAAGTAAATTATGAACATTTCCCTCAGATCCACAGGTTTTGTTCTAGACGGTTTCCCTCGATATCCTGAAGAGGCCCAGTTTCTGGGGGAGCATGGATTTTTCCCAGATGCTGTTGTTTTTATACAAGTTGATGATCAAGATATTTTTGATCGCCTCCTTCCTGCCCAAATTGAAAAGTGGAAACTGAAACAAAAGAAGAAATTGAAAAGGAAAAAACTTATGAATGACTTAAAGGCAAAAATCAAGGTATGTCTACAGTAAAAAATGCATGGGAATAAATCTACCTGGCATCTATTTAAATTATAAAGTTGTTTTCACAAAAATGTAGTTCTATAATTTTAATACCACAGTAAGCATGAAAATATTTTTCATCAAATATGACAACTATTTATAATAAGGGTTAAGAATTATGTGAGGCTTTTACAATAATGATCAATGTGTTAATGCTTCTCTATTTAAAGCAAATGAAAGACAGGGGTAGGGGCTGGGTGTGGCAGCCAGTATAGTCCTACTTAGGAGGTTGAGGGAGGAGGATCCCTTGAACCCAGGAGTTTGAGTCCAGGCTGGGCAACACAGCAAGATCCAACTCAGAAAAGGAAGGAAGGGAGAGAGGGAGAAGAAGGGAGGGAGGGAGGAAGGAAGGAAGAAAAGACAGGAGAAGAAGACAGTGGTAGTGCCAAGGCCACCCTCTACCAGAAACAGGAGAGTGAAAGAGGCAAAAATGAAGCCTTCAAAGACGAAGTAATAAAATTTCTGATGGCATGATCCATCAAGACCACATGAGCCTATAGTGAAAACAGATCCTCATTGGCTTAGAGCATCATTTCTAAAACAACATTCTAACAAGTATTCCATAAAACATTCAAGAGTGTCACAGGAGTTCCACTCCTGGGACTCCAGCCCACAGAAATGACAACATATGTCCATGTAAAAAGTTGTATGTGATTGTTCATAGCAGAATGATTCATAACAGCCAGAAAGAGGAAACAGCCCAAATGGCCATTAGCTGATAAACATCAACAAAAGTGATCTATCCTTCTCATTGAAAATGACTTAGTGGCTGGGCTTGGTGGCTCAACCTGTAATCCCAGTACTTTGGGAGGCCGAGGGGAGTGGATTGCCTGAGCCCGTGGGTTCGAGATCAGCCAGGGAAGTTGGCGAGATCTCATCTCTACAATATATCAAAAATTAGCCAGGCATGGTAGCACGCGCCTTTGATTTCAGCTACTTGGAAGGCTGAGGTGGATGGATCCCCTGAGCCCAGCAGGTCAATGCTGGATGGCCATGAGCGTGCCACTGCACTCCAGCCTGGGCAATGGAGTGAGATTCTAACTCAAAAAAAAAAAAAGAGAGAGAGAATGACTTAGTATTAAAAGAAATGACACTATTCACACTCCCCACAACAGGGATACAAATTAAAGTCATTATGCTGAGTGACAGAAGACAGGCAAAAAGGAGTGCATACAGCCCTACAATTCCATTTGTGTGACACGCCCTCAGAAAAGGCAGATCTGTAGATCTGGGCTGGGTAGAAAAATTAGCCGGGCATGGTGGCACAATCCAGGCTCACCATAGCCTCAATCTTCAGGGTTCAGGTGACTCTCTCACCTCAGCCTCCCCAGTAGCTGGGACTACAGGCACATTCCACCATGGCTGGCTAACTTCTGTGATTTTGTTTTTGTTTTTGTTTTTGTTTTTGTAGAGACAAGGTCTCACTATGTTGCCCAGGCTGATCTCAAACTCCTGGGCTTAAGCAATCCTCCTGCCTCAGTCTCCCAAACTGCTAAGATTACAGGTATGTACCACCATGCCTGGCAAAATTTTTGAATTAACACTTTTGAATTAATATCTTTAAAGGCTAAAACTGTCAAATGTTCATGAAAGTCCCATTCATATTAAGAAAATATGAATCTGGAGCTCGGAAGACTAAAAGCAGACATTAGAGCTCTGCTGAAATGTTTGAAGGACTTTCAGTTGTAGTTACTGCACGTGGCCACAAGGGAGAGAGAGGCCACTGGTAGGAGGTGGGGCTACAGAAATTCATGTCATTATTAATAAGACATTTCAAAAAGAACCAAGATTGAAGTCAGGGAGCTCTTGTCAATAGCTAAGCAAAGACTGGATGGACATTTGATGAGGGAAGAATGGAAAAAAGTTTAAGTGTCAGACAGCAAACCCATCAATTCCAATTTTGAGATACTAACACAAATGATTTAGTACATTCTCCCAACTCAATACCCATTAAATATGTAGAAGCCAATCAGTTACTCTTTAACGGCTCAGACACAGTTGTCAGATTATTTTCATCCTGGGTTTAGCCAAGGAAATCCCTTCGAGGACATTGACACCCCCCTTCTACCCCACCACACTGAGGTGGCATGTCCCAAGGCATTCCTGTCCTACCAAAAATCAAGGCAAGTCGAATTCTTAGCCATCTAAGAGCCATGGAAGTAGATGGCCAACCGCATGCTATTCCGGGTGACATCCATCTCTTTTCTGCCTCCTGATTCATCTGCAGAAAATAGACCAAGCCATCTGCCAGGTGAGAGTTTCTGGAAGCTTAAGAATGGGAAAGAAAGAACTGCAGCTTTGTGAATACAGTTAGGGGCCATTAATCTAGTGGAAAACCGAATACTGCAAGCTCTCACTTACCAGTGAAAACTGAACACTGGGTACACGCAGACAAAAGATGGAACAACAGATACAGGGAACTCCTGAAGGGGGGAGAAAGAAGGGGTTGAAAAGTCTCCCACCGGGTACCACACACACCACCTGGGTTGTGGGCTCAGTAGAAGCCCAAACCTCACATTATGCATATACTCAATAACACATCCATGGACTCCTTGAACCTAAAGTAAAAGATACTTCTGAGAGAAAAAAAAATCAAAGGAGCAGGTACACCAAAGTACGTTTGTACACTGCCTTGCTTTGGGGCCTGAGACAGCTAGTCCAGCACTGTCTTGGAACTCTCCGTGATGATGGAGATGCCCTAGATCCACACTGTTCAGCACAGAAGCCACTAGCCACATGTGGCTGTTGAGCACTTGAAATGTGATTAGTGGCCAGACATGGTGGTATACACCTGTCATCCCAGTTCTTTGGGAGGTTGAGGTGAAAGGATTGTCTGAGCCCAGGGGTTCAAGACCAACCTGGACAACCTGGCAAGACCTTGTCTCTACAATAAATCAAAAAATTAGCCAGGCATGGTGGCGTGTGCCTTTGGTTCCAGCTTCTTGGAAGACTGAGGTGGAAGGGTTGCCTGAGCCCAGGAGATCAAGGCTGTGATGAGCCATGAGCCACTGCACTCTAGCCTGGGCAACAGAGCGAGACCCTGACGAGAGAGAGAGAGAGAGAGAGAGAGAGAGAGAGAGAGAGAGAGAGAAGGGAGAGAGAAGGGAGGGAGAGAAGAAGGGAAGGAGGGAGGGAGGGAGGGGGAGAGGGAGGTGATCAGTGCGACTGAGAAATCAAATGTTTAATTTTAATTAATTTTAACATAAATAGCCACAAGTGGCTGGTGGCTACTGTATTGGACAGAAGAGCCCTAGGACAGGAAGTTCTATTCTAGCCAACACATGTTTTGAGAACTGTACCGACCTAGGGCAGGACGGCACACAGTTCAAGTGCTGGTTCACCTGCACACATCTGCCCCAGCCTTTCACGCTCTCCTACCCTGGTTCAAGTCTTTCTCTCACACCAGCACTGCTCTAGTGACCCCTAACTGTCCTTCCTAGCATCATCTCTGCGTCCTCCAGGCCATCCTGCCAACTACTACTCCACATTCATTTTCCTAAAATTCTTTTTTTTTTTTTTTGAGTGTCGTTGTCACGATTCACTGCAGCCTCAAACTCTGAGCTCAAGCTAGCCTCCTGCTTCAGCTTCCCTAGTGGCTGGGACTACAGGCATGCACCACGACACCCTGCTAATTTTTTGATTTGTGTGTGTGTGTGTGTGTGTGTGTGTGTGGAGATGAGGTTTTGCTATGTTTCCCAGGCTGGTCTCGAACTCCTGGACTCAAACAATCCTCCCACTTCAGCCTCCCAAAGTGTTGGGATTACAGACATGTGTCACCATACCCGGCCAATTTTCCCAAAACTCTATTTAGATCAAGCCACCCCATTAGGGTCTGAGCTCTCAAATTTATTCCAAACCCTCTTTCTAACTTTTTTTCTCAGTTGGATTAAATTCAAACCCTTCTCTTCAGCAACCATCACATCATATGCTTTTGTAATCCCTTCTCTAGGAGTTGAAACCATCCTTGCACTAACTGTGTGCCATTACATGAGTTAAACTCTGAATTTCTGGCAACTCAGAGTGGGGTAATACAGTCTGCCTTGCAGATATGTTTTGAGCAGAAAATGAAAAACTCTATATTATAGTGCTCAGGACGCCCCTCACGGGCATCCACATTAGTTAAACATCACTAACTACTTTTCTGAGCAAAGAGAACAAAGGAAAAGTTGACTGAACATATATGGTATCGTGTGTATAGTTTGCATTTTTTGTGCCGTATACAGTGGTCTTTGTGCATTATGGAAGCACAGAGACTACGTTTTCACAACTCTACATTCAAAGAACCTATGATAAAATAATGTTTTTTAAAAAGGAAATAGCTGGGCATAGTGGCTCATGCCTGTTATCCCAGTGCTTTGGGAAGCTGAAGCAGGAGGATCGCTTGAGGCCAGGAGTTCGAGACCAGCCTGGGCAACATAGTGCGACACTGTCTCTACAAAAAAGTAAAAACTGAAAAGGAAATAATAGGAGTTTTTTGTTTTGTTTGGTAAATTCTCACCCATTCGAGAACTATAGAATTTCTCTGGGGCTCATAAACCAAATGAATTTGATTCAATTCAGTTTTATAATTATATCTACAAATATTTATTGAGTGCCTACAAGTAAAAGTTTTCTGGAATATGTACTCAATAATTACCAGATGAAAGGTTCACAGTCCTTACTGGCCTATCCCAGAGCTCTAGATCATGGCCTCAGGCACCTTTCTATTCATGCCAGGGCATGGTGGCTCCTGCCTGTAACCCCAGCACTTGGGGAGGCCGAGGCAGATGGATTGCTTGGGCCTAGGAGTTCAAGACCAGCCTGGGAAATATAGCAAGTTTTCATCGCTAAAAAAAAAAATTTATGTAAATAAAAAAAAGTAGAAGAAAATAGGTTTATCCATCTACATTTTAAAATGTCTCTTTCTTTAACAGAGTGATATGATTGCTAAAAGAAAGGCTGAACTCATACTAGAGAAAGAGAAAAGAAGGAAAGATGATGTAAGTACAACAAATTTTTTAAAATGAAAAGCAGGATACCCCTTATATGAAATATATATATGTATCTATATATACACACATAAATATATTATATATACATATATATTATGTATGTGTACATATACATATATGTATATTATATATATGCATTTTATAGATATATATAATGATCTTATTGGTGTAAAATAAAAAGGTGGATTTCAAAAGTCTTGAAGGAAATACACAAAATTTATAGATCATTGCACATAATTTTTATTTTCTTTACACTTTTTGGTATTTTATAACTGTTTGCAGTGACCGTTTATTATTTTTATAATCGGAAAAATAAACCCATTTTAAAGAAGAGCACTAAAGATGTTTAAATCACCTAATACAAAATATAATACTGCGTTGAACCATGCTTCTCTTGAATTTTCATCTTTGCCTTCCACGCTTCCAGCCAAGGCCACAGGGAGTCAGACTGGGAGCTCGGGCACTCTCAGACTGGGATAGACAGAGCCTGGGAAACATTTTTAAAAGTTAGAAACCACTTGAGTGTCCCACTATTTACATTTATTTCATAGGTAAATGTCGCCATCTTGTGGAGTTTTAGTCCCACAATGTGACTATAAACCAACCCCTGGGCTTGCTTGTATTCTTACAACTGTCTCCAGAATCTTCCCTCTCTTCCTGTCCACTGGCGCCTTCTATAGGTCTCTATCTATTGTTTAGTAGCCACCGGAAGGAGAAAGCCAGGAAGAGCCAGAACAGGGAGCCAAGAGAGCAGGTAGGCAGAGGTCAGACTATGCCTGGGTGAATAGTTACCAGTGATACATGTCCTAAGAACTGAGGAAAAACCAAAGCCAAAATGAGACTGCAGCAAGGTTCAGGACCAAGGACCAAGCCAAAACCATCTCTGAAAACTTCTAGGGAGAAAGCAGAGCATTTAGACCCAGAGATCATCATGCCTAGAACACTTCAGGACAAAACATCAAGCACAAGTGTGCATATGTGTTGGAGACTGAGGTTGAAGGTGCTGGAAGCCAAGTCGTTCCGAGTAGTCTTCAAATCCAAAATTAGAAAGCAACCTCATTCTCCACGGTGTAATTAGGGATCCGGTGATCTGAATCACATGCGCCTCTGTCAGGGCCGTCAGAACTCGGGTCCTAGAACTCCATCCACATCTTCATGTCTTCCTCTCCCATCTCCTCCCTAGTCAGAAACATTCTGACTATAAACTCCGTTACTCTCCTGGCATCAGCCTCCACCCAGCTATAGGCTCCTCTGCCTCCCTCTGCTAACAGACAGTTGTGACACGGCTCACCCCACATCTACTCCTGTTTCTTGGAGACCATGAATTTTATTTGCTTTCTGTTCGCCCCCCTCCGTTTCTGTTTCTCTATTCCCCTAACCAATCTTCTTTGGATTATTTGAATATATTTTAGAAATGCATTTTAATTCTCTATTGTCTTTTTTGTTATATTGCTATACATTATGTTTTTTGTTTGAATCGGGGTCTCACTCTGTTGCCCAGGCTGGAGTGCAGTGGCACGATCACAACGATCATGGCTCATGGCAGCCTCGACTTCCTGGACTCAGGCGATCCTCTCACCTCAACCTCACCACCATGCCCGGCTAATTTTTTTAATAGACAAGGTCTCACTATGTTGCACAGGCTGGGCTCAAGCAATCCTCCTGCCTTGGCCTCTCAAAGTGCTGGGATGCCAGGTGTGAGCCACCATACTTGGCCTCTATGTTTTCATGCTTGCCCTAGAATTACAGCCTAAGCTTTTCATAGTCTTCTTAGGGTCAGTGTTATTCCACATAATATTGTAAAAACCTTGTAATTGTCTGGGTCTACTCACTTCACCCACCCTAGCCCCAACATCCATTATGTACTAGGTGTCATGTGTCTTACAATTAAATGCATTACAACCCCCACAAGAAATGGTTATATTTATTATTTTAAATAGTAGTATATATTTTCAAAAGCTTAATAGGAAAATAAGCTCTGTTTTACACTTATCCAGATATTCATTATTTCCCGTGTTCTTCATTCATTTCCCTGAGTGATAGAAACCAGAGGAATGAGCATGTTGGCCATCTGAATTATCATCCGCCTATATTGACTTTTTCCAGTTGCTTTCAATATTGTCTCTGCTTTTCAAACTGCTTTCAGCAATTTGATTATGATATACCTACATATAAATTTTTCATATTTATTTATGAGTAAATAAATATGGGGCTTCACTAAACTTTAATTTGTAAATTTGTGTCTTTCATGAAATTTGGGAAAGTTTTGGACATTATTTTTTCAGACTTTTTTCCTGCTTCCTTTACTCTTTGTCTTCTTCTGAAACCCCAATTGCACATTAGTTAGACCTTTTCTGTTGTCTTACATGTCCCTGGAACTTGTGTTAATTTTTTCAATCTTTTTCTCTCTCTTCTTTAAGATAATTTCTACTGATCAATTGTTAAATTCACTGATTCTTCTTCCTTCTGTCATCTCCATCCCATTATTAAGCCCAACCAATAATTGTTTTAATTTCAAATATTGTACTTTTTAGTTCTAAAATGTTTATATCTTTTCTTTTCTTTTTTTAATTTTTTTTAGTTCAAGTCTCATTTCTCACCCAGGCTGGAGTCCAGTGGCTGAGCTCAGGTAATCTTTCTGCCTCAGCCTTTGAAGTAGCCGGAACTACCATGCTGGGCTAATTTTTTGATATATTGTAGAGATGAGGTCTCACCAAGTTGCCCAGACTGTTCTTGAACCCGTGGGCTCAGGCAATCTCCTCACCTCAGCCTCCCAAAGTACTGGGATTACAGGCTTGAGCCACCATGCCAGGCCTATATCTTTTCATTTATTATGAGTGTACTTTCCTTTTCCTCATTGATTATAGCAATAATTTTGCATTATATTCTAGAATTGTAAATATTATATTGTGGGAATTCTGGATTCTGCTGTTTACCTCCAAAGAAAACCAATGTTTTGTTTCAGCAGGCAATTAGCTTAATGAGACTAAACCTGAAAATCCTGGCAAGTGGTAGCCCTTCAGTATACTCTGTTCTTGAATTGCCTATATGTGCATGGTTCACAGGCTAGTCAGTGATGTGGATTGAATTTAGTATTCTCTCCTCTGGCTCTCTCATCTCTGGAGTTTATCTTCACTCTTCAGCAGCCCTGGTTGTGGCTCCTTCCCCTGGTGCTCCAGCCAGAAAGACAACTGATTTTCTACCAGAGCCTTGGTCGTACTGAACCACCACTGCTCTAACTGAAGTTTTCTCTGGGAAAATGCACAAAATGAGAAAACTTACCTAGGCCTATCACTTGCTCTAAATTTGAACTGTTCTCTGAAATCTGCTTTTGTCACTCTCCAGAGACCTCAATATAAGAAAGGGGCAGGGGCAGGGTGAGGGAAGAGTGTTGTTCAAACCTTATGATTATTTGCTAGAGTTAAGTAAACCTATTTCTTCATACTGTAGGTAGAACTCCAAGACCATGATATTTAGAATAAACATCTCCTAACACGAAGACTAAGAGATGGCCATTGTCAGGAAAACAGCACTGTTTTAGAGGATCAAATGGCCATTTACAGAAAAATGAAATATTTTATCCCTAGGAAAAATTAACCTGTGGGTCTTTTAGATGGTCTGTTGTGAAAATTTTGGGGATATTAAACTTAAAAAAAAAAATCAACATTGTACTAAATGTACTAGCCAAAGCAATTTGATAAGAAAAAGAAATAGGCTGGGTGTGGTGGCTCATGCCTGTCATCCCAGCACTCTGGGAGGCAGAGGTGAGAGGATTTCCTGAGCCCACGGGTTTGAGACCAGCCTGGGCAACATGATGAGACCTCATCTCTACAATAAATCAAAAAATTAGCTGGGCATTGTGGTGCAGGCTTGTAGTTCCACCTACTTGAGAGTCTGAGGCAGGAGGATCACCCCAGCCCAGTAGGCCAAGGCTGCAGTGGCCATGAGTGTGTCATTGCACTCCAGCCTGGGTGACAGAGTGAGACTATGACTCAAAAAAAAAAAAAAAAGAAAGAAAGAAAAAGAAATAGTATACATGTTGAAAAGTAAGAATAATTTCTGCCACACAATCATGTTTTTTTTTTAAAAAGAATAAAAGTAAGAATAAAACTCTTTATTTGCATATAATTTGATTATCCCCAATGTCTAAGAGGATAAATTGCAGAAAAAAATTGTTTAAGGTTACCCCTGTCAGCCCCTTACTTAATAGTGACATCTTTCCCATCAAGAAAAAAAAAGTGTCCAAGCATATTACATACCTAAAAAATTTATTAATTAAAAAAGTAAATTATTTCTAAGAGTGTGAAATGCTGTGTCTAGAAGATGTCAGGGACACAGAATGTTGGCAGGTACCCTTCATCACTTGGAGCAAGGTCCAGGCCTCCTGCTTCCTCTCATTCTCCCATCTTTTTTTTGTTTTGTTTTAAGTCAGAGTCTCATTCTGTCACCCTGATTGGAACACAGTGACATGCTCACAGCCACCGCAGCCCCAACCTGCTGGGCTCAGGTGACCCTTCTGACTCAGCCTTCCAATTAGCTGGGACTACAGTCGCATGCCACCACATCCGGCTAATTTTTTTATTTATTGTAGAAACGAGGTCTGGTCTTGAACCCCTGGGCTCAGGAAATCCTCTCACCTCCACCTCCCAAAGTGCTGGAATTACAGGTGTGAGCTACCGCACCCTGCTAAGATATCATTTTAAACAATAAGATGCAACAAAAAGAAGAGCAAGATTCAATGACAACCACTTCTTCAAGTTTTTTGGTGTGTTTGTTTGTGTTTTTGGGTCAGAGTCTCACTCTGTTGCCCAGGCTGAAGTGCAATGGCATGCTCACAGCCACTGCAGCCTTGACCTGCCGGTCTCAGGTGATCCTTCTGCCTTAGCTTTCCAAGTAGCTGGAACTACAGGTGTGTGCCACCACACCTGGCTAATTTTTTTAAAAATGTATTTATTGTAGAGATGAGATCTCACCAAGTTGTCCAGGCTGGTCTTGAAACTCTGAGCTCAGGCAATCCTCCCGTCTCAGCCTCTCAGAGTGGTGGGATGACAGGTGTGAGCCACCACACCCAGCCTTAATCCTCATGTCATAAATGGATGCTACAACATTACCTGCTCACATACAAAGAGCTTGCAATTGCTCTGCATTAATCAGTTTAGGCTTTCATTTATAAAAATGAATAGCCAACCAAGGATTACCATATACTTGAGGAAAATTATTAGCAAAAAGAAAAACCGAGATGGGCAAATAGAACAATTAACCATAGAACAAATAGACAATCTAGGAAACATAATTAAACATTAAAAGAATTCCAATTTTTCTTATAAAATTTAAGATGAAACTTGTAACCATAAATCAAAAACAAGATGTTATAAGGCCGGGTATGGTGGCTTTCATCTGTAATCCAGCACTTTGGGAGGCCCAGGTGGAAGGATCGCTTGAACTCAGGAGTTTGAGACCAGCATAGGCAACATAGCGAGACTTCAGTTCTACAAAAAATAAATAAAAAGTAAAATAAATAAGCTAGGTGTGGTGGCGTACACCTGTAGTTCCAAATACTCGGGAAGACTAAAGCAGCAGGATTGCCTGAGCCCAAGAAGTCGAGGCTGCGGTGAGCTGGCCTCATGCCACTGCACTCCAGCCTGGGCAGCTGAGTGAGACCCTGAGTCAAAAAAATAATAACAGTTACTCTCAGATTTCACACTGGAGGGCAATTCTCCTATTGAGACAAGGAATACTGCAGGGAGAACAGCGTGAAGGCAGTACAGGAGGATAAATATCATAGCACCCAGTTTTGTGCAAAGTGAATTATAGCACTTAAAGCCCAAACAACACAACTCAGTGCCACGTCCTGTCACAGTCTTTAATAATCATGTATGTATTATTCTTGCTTCCACAGATAGACCGTGGTCTCCTAAGGAGCGTTTACTGTTACTAGCGTGGAACTTTATGCAAAGAGATGATCATAGCTATAATAGCATAATAATAGCTATCATTCACATTCTTACCATATGCCAGACACTTTTCTAGGGGCTTTGTATGTATTAACTAATTTAATTCTCCCACCAGCCCTATGAAATAGGTACTTTTATTATTCCTATTTTGGAGATAAGAAAACTGATCTTGTCCCAGTTAATAGAGTTAGTGTTTTATACTCTTTGAACTACATTAGATGTTGTTCCTGAAGACTGTCAAAAACATGTAGCAGTCTGAAAATCATAGCCATAAATAGCATTTACTATTTTGTCTTGTTATTTACTTATGGGATCACGACGGTGTCCAAGTTGTGATGGTACTAAAATTCTGGGTGGCAGTTCTTTAAAACCTTACTGCATTTTAAACCCTTACTGCATTACCTGGTGACCAGACAATACCAACCAATATCCAGTTATTGCAAAGTATTCCAGATGACTCATGAGCAATGTCTCTTGTTACATATTTTATATGTATAGCGACAGGGAATATTTTCTTCCTTAGACTGCTGCTAGAGATGATGAAGAGATCAGTGAGGAAGAGCCTGAAGACGATGAAGATGATATTGACAACATCCTTGAAGATGAGTTTCCAAAAGATGAGGAGGAGATGGGTGAAGAGGATGAAGAACAGGAAGTCGATGCAATAGAACGCCTGAGAGGGGAGCTGGGAGAACAATTCGAAGCAGAAGTGAATAATTTACAAATAATACAGGTTATGAGGCTTTTCCTTCGTTTTAAAAATTCAAAATATGACACTTGGGAAGGAGACAAGAGCAATTTGGTTTATGCCTTGTCTCTTGTAAACATTTCAAAAGAAATGCCTATTTTAGGGCTGTATTCTCTTTTGTCAGTATCACTTGAGAATGATAAAAATGTGTCCATAAATCAAGAGCAGCGTGGAAGCCACACAGGGTAGGAGTAAGCTTAACTGACAACATGCAGCCACTCTGAAGCTGAAAAATATTTGTCTTCTAGACTGAAGCAGTTGGTCACCAGCAGTGCCTGCATGCTGTGACTGAGGGCTACCAGCCTTTTTTCCCACTAAATATATTTGGCTTTATGATTTATCTCATCAGGATGAACTTGAGAGGTCTTTGATACCAATAATTCTCATTAACGGAGCTCGAAAAATTCACATTGTACAATATATATTAAATTTGAAACTGAAACCACTGGTGGAAAATCGTGCAAGCATCTTTGAGAAATGTTATTCAATACCAGCACACCTCGCCCAGAAAATGCTCGCCTTTACCTACAAGTATATAAGCTCATTTGGCTATTGGGACCCTGTAAAGGTAATTTCAGTAAATACATCCAAAAGCCATGTTCTTTTTTTATTTTTATTTTTTTGGTGGGGGGGAAGCAGGATTCATTGAGAAGAAAAACTCTCAGAGCGGGAGGGGACCCGAGGGGTTGCCCCAAGTTCTTTCTTTATTATTTTTTTAGTGTATGTCTAGGAAGAGGACTGGATAACTTTCAAAATTGTAAATATTGAGTCAGAGTTTTTTTTTTTTGAGTCAGAGTTTCACTGTCCCCCAGGCTGGAGTGCAGTGACATGATTACGGCTCACCACAGCCTCAACCTCCTGGGTTCAGGCACTCCTGCCGCAACCTCCCAAGTAGCTGGGACTATAGGCACATTCTACCATGCCCAGCTAATTTTTTTGTGGTTTGGTAGATATGAGGTCTCACTATGTTGCCCAGGCTGATCTCAAATTCTTGGTCTCAAAAGATCCTTCTGCCTTGGCCTTTCAAAGTACTGAGATTACAGGTTTGAGCCACTGTGCCTAACCTGGGTAATATTCTTATTTCCCTATCAAAATACTTTGGAATTTTAAAATGGAATCATTAAACTTTCAGTTTCTCTTTTATTACCAACTATATAACATAGAGCAGGCATCCTCTTTACCCCTGAGTTTCTCCTTGTCTCTAACCATGGTTCACCCATAAACTCTAGCCCAAGAATGATAATGTTGACACTACCGCTGACTTCTAACAACTGGCCTGGTGTAGCTCTTAGGGGGGAGCGATATTACTATACTGTTTCACACCCACTCTGTCAAGTCCAGGTATGGCTGATTGCTTGATCATCTGATGCTACAAAAAGATGTTCAAACCCAGCATCAATCAATTACCCACCTCATCATCACCAGTGCAAAGATGTGGAACCTCCTCACTCCATTCCCTACCCTCACCTTAGGTCACCTGTTATGGGTCTTTTTCTACTTCATGACTGCTCTTAATGTTTAGGTAAATGGATTTCAATTGTATATGAAATATGTGAAAGAGGCTGGGAGCAGTGTCTCACTCCTGTAATCCTACCACTTTGGGAGGCCAAGGTGGGAGCATTGCCTGAGTCCGGGAGTTCAAGTCCAACCTGGGCAACATTATGAGACCTCGTCTCTACAATAAATCAAAAACAAAAAAATTAGCCAGGCATGGTGGTGCATGCCTTTAGTCCCAGCTGCTTGGAAGGCTGAGGCTAAAGGATCGCCTGAGTCCAACAGGTCGAGTCTGCAGTGACCGTGATCGTGCCAGGGCACTCCAGACTGGGCAACAGAGTGAGACTCTGACTCAAAAAAAAAAAAGAGTGAGCAAGAACCGAGTGGGATTTGGCCTACCTATACACCCCAAAAGATAATCCAGGAACTCACTCGTGTTAGTCTGCTCAGGCTGCTATACCAAGATACCACAGACTGGGTAGTTTGAACAACAGAAATAATTATTTCCTTGAGCTCTGAAGGCTAAATTTCAAGACCAAGGTGCCTGCAGGGTTGGCTTTCTGGTGAGGCCTCCCTCCTGGGCCTGCAGATGGTTGATGTCTCACTGTGTCCTCACATGGCTTTTTCTCCATGCACGCTGCCCTGGTGTCTCTTCCTCTTCTTGGAAGGACATCAGTCCTATCAGATTAGGGTTCCCTCCCGATGACTTCGTTTCACCTTAATTACCTCCATTATTAAAGGTTCTGTCTTCAAATATAGTCACTCTGGGGGCTAGGTGTTCAACATAGAAATTGAGGAGGTAGGAGAGAGACAATTCACCATCTCAGAAATGGACCTGTTTGTGAGGAAAATTGGCATAGGAACAGACGCAAACAGCCTTACGCCCCTTGGCAGAAATATTGAGTAGAACTAGAGACACCATAAAGGAGGTAGAAGAACCACCATTGTCATAAACTGAAGGTCAATGAAGAAATTTTATATGACTTATATGTGAATGTAAAATGTTTTGTTGTTCCACAGTTATTTAATATTAATGCTACTTGTTTTTTTCATTTTTGTTGTTGCTGTTGTTGTTTTCGAGTTGGAATCTCACTGTTGCTCAGGTTGGAGTGCAGTGGCATGCTCACAATCACCTCTGCCTCGACCTACTGGGCTCAGGCGATCCTTCCACCTCAGCCTTTCAAGTAGCTGGAACTATAGGCATGCGCCACCATGCCTGGCTAATTTTTTGATTTATTTTAGAGACAGGGTCTCGCCAAGTTGCCCAGGCTTGTCTCAAACCCGTAGGCTCAGGCAATCTTCTCACCTCCACCTCCCAAAGTGCTGGGATTACAGGTTTGAGACACCATGTCCCGCTGTTTTTTGTTTGTTTGTTTGTTTTGTTTCATTTTAGATTCAGGAGAGTACATTTGCAGATTTGTTACGTGGGTGGATTGGGTGATGGTGAGGTTTCTGCTTCTGTTAGAGCCATCATCCAAATAATAAGCACAATACCCAGTGGGTAGTTTTTCAGCCTTTGGCCCCTCCACACTCCCCCTTTGGGAGTTCACACCATCTGTTGTTCCCATTTTTATGGCCGTGTGTACCCAATGTTTAGCCTCCATGTATAAGGAGAACATGCAGTATTTGATTTTCTGTTTCTGCATTCATTTACTTAGAATCATGGCTTCCAGTTGCATCCATGTCTCTGCAAAGACAAGATTTTGTTCCTTTTTATGGCTGCATAGTATTCCATGGTGTATATATTGTTGAACCCAAGATTCTAATCAGAGAGAGAGAGAGAGACCTCAAAGAGCCAGCTCCGATGCAAACACATGAGGGTCTTTATTCAGGCTCGAGTCTGGGCTCACGCATGAAGCCCGTAGAAGCTTCATGAACCAGAGCCCCGATTCACAATGGCAAGCAGTTTTTATGCACAATTACAGAGGGAGGGGAAAGAACTTTAAACTTGATTTTACATGATTGGGTAATTTCTCCTAATGGGTACGGGCACACTTGGTATTGGTTGGTGCCTTTCGTGGGTTGCCCGTGATTGACAGAAACCCACTTAACGGGCAGAGTGGAAGGTTAGATAAGTTAGATCCATACAGTCACTGCGTATATAGTAACCTGAGCCGGCAGGTAAAGGGTTGCATTTAGCCCTTTAAGTTTACTAATCCACCCCAAGGTATGCTTAGGAAAGCTTGTTTGCTTAACATTTACATAACATAACACGTCATTATGGGACAACAAAAGCCAAACTTAACAAAGTTTTAAATATGAATGCTGCAAACACATACAGTGAATGTGGGGTAGAAATTCATATACTAATTCTGGGAATTTATAAATATCACAAACGTCTTATAGCAAGGCGGTTTTTGTAAAGGTCTCTGATTCTCTCAAGTTTACATAGCCACTGCGGGTAAATTAACACTGGGATGAAAACTGGTGATATAGCAGTTGGCGCCTCAGAGTCTGCTTCGATCTTGTAGGAATGTCTGAAAGGGGTTTATCGCTTTATCATTTACATCCCGTTGTAAAAGCAGAAGTTAGCCTGGTAATTGGGGCTGACAATGCTTAACTCAAGAGTTCTAAATACAAAACCACTTAAGCCATTATATAATTGGTCATTACCCATTACCCATACCGACATATGCCTAATTCTACGGGGTCTGAGGTAGGATTTAAAGTACTAAGATTTCATTTGAGGTAGAATTTAAAGTACTAAGATTTCATAAAATACATGAGGTAGGAATACACAAAATATATAGTAAACATGAGGTAGGGATATATGAAATATAGTGAACTAAACACTACTTTTACAGCAAGTATGGCTTTTTAAGTTTCCTGGTTTCTTGGGTCTCTCAATAGCATGCTCTTAACCTAAGTCTATTTTTGTCCTCTCGGCTCAAGTCTATTTATTTATTTTATTTTATTTTTTACTTTAGACAATCT